TCATTCTATTTTTATAAAAAAGAATGATGGAACAGACAGAGTGGGGTTGATCGGCAATAACAATTGTCGCTGACAGGTTAACGATTTGAGGAGGTCGGATTTCGGACTGGCCCTTCGCTAGCTGATTCAGTGACCCTTCTTCGTTGCTCTCCATCTCACAAGTCTAGTTTCATGATATTTTTGAAATTTAACGGTGATCCTGCATCGTTGAGGTATCAGCATAGAAGCCTAGTTGCCAATAAGTTAACGATTTGAGGAGGTCGGTTCTCCGACTGACCCTTCGTTGGCTGATGTGGCGACCCTCTCTCTATGTTTTCATCTTAACTTTCAAGATCCAGCTAAAACAATGAGCAGCCCAAACACATAAATATTTAACTCCAGCTGCACAATCAAATAAACTAAAAGAATTTTTAAAAAAATTCAAATGAAAAATGACGTAAAAAGTATAAAATGAAACCTAACTTTTAAATAATTTTTTGTGAAAAAGCAACTTTATTATTAACACTAACGCAAGTAAAACCTAAAGTATAATTATTTTGTCAAATCCATATATGAAAAAATTTGTTAGCAAATATGCTTCGCGCAGTTTTAACCTTTATCGCCTAAAAAACATTTATGCTGCTAACTAATTTTCAAAAAATCTAAAAAGCGTATGTATTGTTAATGTAAATTCGAAGTATTGGTTATTTAAAAACAAAGAATTACTTATTTATATTAATATCATTCTATTTTTATAAAAAAGAAAGATGGAACAGACAGAGTGGGGTTGATCGGCAATAACAATTGTCGCTGACAGGTTAACGATTTGAGGAGGTCGGATTTCTGACTGGCCCTTCGCTGGCTGATTCAGTGACCCTTCTTCGTTGCTCTCCATCTCACAAGTCTAGTTTCATGATATTCTTGAAATTTAACGGTGATCCTGCATCGTTGAGGTATCAGCATAGAAGCCTAGTTGCCAATAAGTTAACGATTTGAGGAGGTCGGTTCCCCGACTGACCCTTCGTTGGCTGATGTGGCGACCCTCTCTCTATGTTTTTATCTTAACTTTCAAGATCCAGCTAAAACAATGAGCAGCCCAAACACATAAATATTTAACACCAGCTGCACTATCAAATAAACTAAAAGAATTTTTTAAAAAAAATTCAAATGAAAAATGACGTAAAAAGTTAAAAAAGAAACCTAACTTAAAAAATTTTTTGTAAAAAAGCAACTTTATTATTAACACTAACGCAAGTAAAGCCTAAAGTATAATTATTTTGTTAAATCCATATATGAAAAAATTTGTTAGCAAATATGCTTCGCGCAGTTTTAACCTTTATCGCCTAAAAACATTTATGCTGCTAACTAATTTTCAAAAAATCTAAAAAGCGTATGTATTGTTAATGTAAATTCCAAGTATTAGTTATTTAAAAACAAAGAATTATTTATATATATTAATATCGTTCTATTTTTATAAAAAAGAATGATGGAACAGACAGAGTGGGGTTGATCGGCAATAACAATTGTCGCTGATAGGTTAACGATTTGAGGAGGTCGGACTTCTGACTGGCCCTTCGCTAGCTGATTCAGTGACCCTTCTTCGTTGCCCTCCATTTCACAGGTCTAGTTTCTTGATATTCTTGAAATTTAACGGTGATCCTGCATCGTTGAGGTATCAGCAAAGAACGCTAGTTGCCAATAAGTTAACGATTTGAGGAGGTCGGTTCTCTGACTGACCCTTCGTTGGCTGATGTGGCGACCCTCTCTCTATGTTTTTATCTTAACTTTCAAGATCCAGCTAAAACAATGAGCAGCCCAAACACATAAATATTTAACTCCAGGTGCACAATCAAATAAACTAAAAGAATTTTTAAAAAAATTCAAATGAAAAATGACGTAAAAAGTTAAAAATGAAACCTAACTTTTAAATAATTTTTTGTGAAAAAGCAACTTTATTATTAACACTAACGCAAGTAAAACCTAAAGTATAATTATTTTGTCAAATCCATATATGAAAAAATTTGTTAGCAAATATGCTTCGCGCAGTTTTAACCTTTATCGCATAAAAAACATTTATGCTGCTAACTAATTTTCAAAAAATCTAAAAAGCGTATGTATTGTTAATGTAAATTCGAAGTATTGGTTATTTAAAAACAAAGAATTACTTATTTATATTAATATCATTCTATTTTTATAAAAAAGAATGATGGAACAGACAGAGTGGGGTTGATCGGCAATAACAATTGTCGCTGACAGGTTAACGATTTGAGGAGGTCGGATTTCTGACTGGCCCTTCGCTGGCTGATTGAGTGAACCTTCTTCGTTGCTCTCCATCTCACAAGTCTAGTTTCATGATATTCTTGAAATTTAACGGTGATCCTGCATCGTTGAGGTATCAGCATAGAAGCCTAGTTGCCAATAAGTTAACGATTTGAGGAGGTCGGTTCCCCGACTGACCCTTCGTTGGCTGATGTGGCGACCCTCTCTCGATGTTTTTATCTTAACTTTCAAGATCCAGCTAAAACAATGAGCAGCCCAAACACATAAATATTTAACTCCAGCTGCACAATCAAATAAACTAAAAGAATTTTTAAAAAAATTCAAATGAAAAATGACGTAAAAAGTTAAAAATGAAACCTAACTTTTAAATAATTTTTTGTGAAAAAGCAACTTTATTATTAACACTAACGCAAGTAAAACCTAAAGTATAATTATTTTGTCAAATCCATATATGAAAAAATTTGTTAGCAAATATGCTTCGCGCAGATTTAACCTTTATCGCCTAAAAAACATTTATGCTGCTAACTAATTTTCAAAAAATCTAAAAAGCGTATGTATTGTTAATGTAAATTCGAAGTATTGGTTATTTAAAAACAAAGAATTACTTATTTATATTAATATCATTCTATTTTTATAAAAAAGAAAGATGGAACAGACAGAGTGGGGTTGATCGGCAATAACAATTGTCGCTGACAGGTTAACGATTTGAGGAGGTCGGATTTCTGACTGGCCCTTCGCTGGCTGATTCAGTGACCCTTCTTCGTTGCTCTCCATCTCACAAGTCTAGTTTCATGATATTCTTGAAATTTAACGGTGATCCTGCATCGTTGAGGTATCAGCATAGAAGCCTAGTTGCCAATAAGTTAACGATTTGAGGAGGTCGGTTCCCCGACTGACCCTTCGTTGGCTGATGTGGCGACCCTCTCTCGATGTTTTTATCTTAACTTTCAAGATCCAGCTAAAACAATGAGCAGCCCAAACACATAAATATTTAACTCCAGCTGCACAATCAAATAAACTAAAAGAATTTTTAAAAAAATTCAAATGAAAAATGACGTAAAAAGTTAAAAATGAAACCTAACTTTTAAATAATTTTTTGTGAAAAAGCAACTTTATTATTAACACTAACGCAAGTAAAACCTAAAGTATAATTATTTTGTCAAATCCATATATGAAAAAATTTGTTAGCAAATATGCTTCGCGCAGTTTTAACCTTTATCGCCTAAAAAACATTTATGCTGCTAACTAATTTTCAAAAAATCTAAAAAGCGTATGTATTGTTAATGTAAATTCGAAGTATTGGTTATTTAAAAACAAAGAATTACTTATTTATATTAATATCATTCTATTTTTATAAAAAAGAATGATGGAACAGACAGAGTGGGGTTGATCGGCAATAACAATTGTCGCTGACAGGTTAACGATTTGAGGAGGTCGGATTTCGGACTGGCCCTTCGCTAGCTGATTCAGTGACCCTTCTTCGTTGCTCTCCATCTCACAAGTCTAGTTTCATGATATTTTTGAAATTTAACGGTGATCCTGCATCGTTGAGGTATCAGCATAGAAGCCTAGTTGCCAATAAGTTAACGATTTGAGGAGGTCGGTTCTCCGACCTTCGTTGGCTGATGTGGCGACCCTCTCTCGATGTTTTTATCTTAACTTTCAAGATCCAGCTAAAACAATGAGCAGCCCAAACACATAAATATTTAACACCAGCTGCACTATCAAATAAACTAAAAAAATTTTTAAAAAAAATTCAAATGAAAAATGACGTAAAAAGTTAAAAAAGAAACCTAACTTAAAAAATTTTTTGTAAAAAAGCAACTTTATTATTAACACTAACGCAAGTAAAACCTAAAGTATAATTATTTTGTTAAATCCATATATGAAAAAATTTGTTAGCAAATATGCTTCGCGCAGTTTTAACCTTCATCGCCTAAAAACATTTATGCTGCTAACTAATTTTCAAAAAATCTAAAAAGCGTATGTATCGTTAATGTAAATTCGAAGTGTTGGTTATTTAAAAACAAAGAATTATTTATTTATATTAATATCGTTCTCTTTTTATAAAAAAGAATGATGGAACAGACAGAATGGGGTTGATCGGCAATAACAATTGTCGCTGATAGGTTAACGATTTGAGGAGGTCGGATTTCTGACTGGCCCTTCGCTAGCTGATTCAGTGACCCTTCTTCGTTGCCCTCCATCTCACAGGTCTAGTTTCTTGATATTCTTGAAATTTAAAGGTGATCCTGCATCGTTGAGGTATCAGCAAAGAAGCCTAGTTGCCAATAAGTTAACGATTTGAGAAGGTCGGTTCTCCGACTGACCCTTCGTTGGCTGATGTGGCGACCCTCTCTCGATGTTTTTATCTTAACTTTCAAGATCCAACCAAAACAATGAGCAGCCCAAACACGTAAATATTCAACACCAGCTACACTTCCAAATAAACTAAAAGATTTTTTTAAAAAAAATTTTAAAAGTGTTTATATCGTTAATTTAAATTCCAAGTATTGGTTGTTTAAAAACAAAGAATTATTTATTTTAATTAATAATATTCTATTTTTATAAAAAAGACTGATGAAAAAGACTGATGGAATAGACAGAGTAAGGCTGATCCCCGATGACACTTAGCACTGATAGGTTAACGATTTGAGGAGGATTGAGTTTTGATAATAAAATTTAAAAAAAGTGACTTCCGCGTCTTTAAACAATATATTAATTTGATTTTGGCGCCTATGTTTGGTTTATTTATTAGATTTTTGTATTATTTATTAGAATTTTTAAAAATACTTTTTCTTTACCTTTTACAATAACTACTACGCTGAGGATAGCCCATATAAATTCCTAATAGGCTAACCCGAGTGACTTAACCTAAGAAAAATGATTGCTCGCGTAACCTTTCTTTCATTACTTACCTTCCTTTTAAGAACCATCACGATTTAACATCAAAAAGGACATTGAGGAGAAGGGTTCGAAGACGACAAAATATTCAAGAGAGAATTGCAGCTAAGCGGAACTTAGAGGCATCTATAGATAGTGAGGGAACATTAGAAAAGGAGCAGAAAGTGGTCGAAGAACCACCAGTAAAAATAAATAAAGAAGATACAGAAGAAGTGGAAAATACATTAAGGTTCTTGGCCGATAATTTAGACGTTTTCACGAACAATATAATTGTAAAGTAAGGTACATTTAAATGATAAATATATACTTAAAAACATTAGTAACATAATTCCGAATCACCACCTATTGTAATACCAATGATTTCTTACCCCTATAACCCTTATCCCAACCGGAACACGTGACTTTATCCAGAATCTACGTGTAACCCAAACCCTAATTATCAATAATTATCACAACAATTATCATAAATATATTAAACATCTAAATCCCCCTTAGAACAACTGCTCTAAATATACCCACTAAGACATTGAATTACAGAGACAGCCAATTTCAATACTTGTCTCTAAAATAAAACCGATGACAATAACAAAAAATAATTCCCGCGGAAAATGATAGAAAAACTCACCTTGAGAATTACCTAACTCTTTTCGCGGAGACTAAAGAAGCTCTGACACGTAAATAGAACAATAGACCATTGAAAACTTACAACGATAGAACAATGGAATTTCTAAAAACAGAAGTTTTACATTTTTATGTGCACACGTTTCGTTCGTATCAGATATCTGCTAACAAGCGAAGAAAAAGCAACTTTGGCGTTCAGAAATATATTTTTTCACGTTTATTTAATAAAAAAATCTACATTAACGACAACACGAACAATGGCATCGAATAATTACATAAATATATACCCTACTACAACACCCAGCAACACGGTAAGAAAAACATTTCCTTTATCACATTTACATACTTAATAAGTCATACCATCACCACCCCACTATAATTTAGCGTTTACTTGAACATCACACGCCACTACAACTCACCATTGAAAGCACCCCATACTATTCTTACACATTATGCATATTTAGAATTTATTATAGAGTCCAAACACACCGGAAGACATATTCCTTACACAAGACGTGTTCCGAAATCAAGAAGTTCTCGCGACCGTAGATAAATTAGAATTAGAAATACTAAGGCACAGTACCACCCTGGAACCCGAAGACAAAAAAGAAGGAGACACAACACAAAAAGACGAAGAACTAAGTGACAGCCAAATGCTAGAAACGGTAGGTTTAGTTCAAACCTTTACACCAAAAACATCTTAAAAACTATTAATTATCCCCCTCATACCCAACCCCCTAGGGTCCGACTCCGTTATCTGAAAATTGTTGTGTTTATATATGTATGTACTTCATTTATGTATATCATTTGTGCGTGTTTGCATGCATATATGCATGCTTCTGTATATGCGGACATGTGGGGATGTATGTGTTTGCATGCATATATGCACACCCTACCCTGTTACCCTCCTAGTATGTATAGACCTCTGTTTTATACATGGTAGTGTTCATACAGATATATTTGTATGTGCATATACATGTGCACATACATTTATATTTGGATTCATACTCTTGCACCCAACCCCCTCTATTTCACTCTATTTCACTCCGTTACCTGATTTATCTGTTTTATGCATAGTTGTACTCACACAAGTATGTGTACTTGCGTGTGCATGTGTTTGCGTGTTTATATGCGCATATGCGTGTGCATGTATGTGGACGTGTGTTTATGCATTAGGTGTGTATACATGTATATGTAGAATTGTGTTCTTATATGGGTGTTTAGGCTGGTTTAGGCATACTTCTATGCCTAAACCAGCTCTCCCGTACCCAACCCCCTAAGATTCTAAATCAACTCTCACAGTATTATATAATTGCGTGAGAACATATTATAATGATCTACACTATTCTGTATGATCTTATAATGCTCGATACGCACACCAGATGAAATGGGAGACTCCTCGGGTATGAGTTCATCACATATCTAAACCTCACGTGGTAACTAAGCTGTAGGCCATGGAGTTGTTTTAGTACTTTAACTTCTTCGAAACAAGCTTAGACATTCCGACATGGCCCTGACGAGATGAAGGTTTGTCACATGCCACAACTTTCGACCATTATGATGACCTCAACCCCGAACTCCACTCGCGCAGCACCTTCCCCTCAACTTGTTTTACTTTTATACTACAATAATTTGTACTACTAATTTACTACTAATTTATTACCTCCAATTTACGATGGTAATCACTAAAGCTTTATAGCATACATACTATGCATATCGGATATATTATACACGATATATATAATATTCTAGATATACATAAGTCTCTCTATAAATAATATAAGAAACTTATTGGTTTACCTAACAAGCATCATACTGCCCCGAACCAACACCACTGAGCCAAACTGTGTTGCTATAATTGTACTGCACCCCGCACATAGTTCTTACAAAAATAGCAACAAACTCCACACTCTCATATGTTCTATCAACATATGTTAAAACATATCTTATAAAGTGCTTTTAACAAAGATTACGATCACAAAGAACATAATAACATCAAAATTAAATAAGACGGAAAATTAAAATATTTACGAAAATACAGATTCATACAAAGAAAGACATTAATTCACATATTAAACTTGAACATTTAGAACACCACAAACACAAAGCACAATAATTAACACAAACTTACAGAACACTGAAACAACACTTACTTAAACCTAACTTAAAGAACACTTACTTAACTCTAACTTAACTAGTGAATAATACTCCCCTCTTTAACACCACCTCTTAATACTGGACATCTGTCCAAATATTATAATTTATCTAGCACTCCCTTGCACTTATATAATATATTTCTTTCTTCTCTTAAGACTCTTACGGCCTGATGGTTCCATATCAGTGGTGGAACTTTAATAGCTTCCACTGCGAAACAATAGCAGATTTAATCCCTCTCCTGTCCCACTAGTGGGAACGGGATGCGGAACTTGGGCAACAACTTCTTCGGACAAATAACTTTATACACATCTTGCACTTTTTGTATCTTATTTTACACCATCTTTTTACACTCTTTCTCAACTTTCTAATTCAACTCTTTTATGAAAACCAGACTTACGTAAAACCCAAACGAAACTTATAACACAAAAGGAACCACTAAAATTACAAGATAGCTATGACACTTAATACTACTACGGGACACTAATAAGTACACCTAATACTACCACGAACACTAAACACCTTATACAAACATCTAAAACACTAATAACATTTAAAACTACCACCACGAACACGACACTAATAACACGATATTAGTAATGCCATTAATTACATATCTTTCACCTTAGCTCATATCACTGGCAGAAGGAAATCGTAACTTATACACAACTAGCAACAGCCATAGAAACTTCAAACCCCTCTCTTACAAAAAATTATTCATGTCACAATGGGCCGGAAAACTAAACGCAAACTACAACAAACAACTTAAAGAAAAGATTAACATCACTAGAACCAATATGCAAAACAAAACAATTACGAACATCTCAGGCACCCAATTAACAAAAAATGAACTTACTATACTAAATAAAGGACTTAAATTTATCTACTCCCCACAGGAACCTGACTTTGATCTATATACGAAACAAATAAAAAAATTTAAACGGCATATTTACTGTAAAATGTTTTTTAATAAACAAAACCCAACATCGCAAAACCCAACGAAAAAAGACCGCACGCTCAAACGACCCAACCCTAATTGGAACCCCCTTGCAGATAAAAACATGAAACTCAAAAGATACATGACCATAATAGACAGAGAGACGGAAAGAATCATGAAAGACCCAACCTACACAAATGCAAATAACACCACAATCAATGAAAGGAAAGCTCTGTATAAACTAAGAAGAAACAAATCCATAACAATCAAGAAGACAGATAAGGGCGGTGGTATATGCATATTAGATAAGAAAACATATGAAGAAAAAATTTTACAACTTTTGGAAGACAAAAACACATACGACGAACTACCAAACGACACAACAGAAATGGTAACAGACAAAATAATAAACGAAATTATTATGATGAGGAATGCACGAGCAATCCCCGAGAAAGTAGCCAACTTCATACTACCCAACACACCGAGTCGCACTCCCCTATTTTACGGACTACCCAAAATACACAAACAAGGAACACCACTACGACCGATAGTTTCTGGGTGCGATGGACCGACTGATAACCTCTCTGAATATGTGGTAAAGTACCTGCAACCTATGGCAGAAACACTTCCCGCATACTTCAGGGACACCACTCACTTGCTTAGATTACTATCTAACATCAACTCCCCCGAGAGCCCGATAACACTGATAACTGCCGACGTAACATCGCTATACACTAACATACCACACAATGACGGCATCCAAACTATCAAAAACTTTATAACCGAACATTTACATACCATCAAATTCCCTCCCGAACTACCACCCATCATACCGACTAGACATTTTTGCCACCTTATTGAACTGATACTTAAGAACAGCTCGTTTATATTTGGCGACAGGGCGTTCCGCCAGAAATTTGGCACCTCCATGGGTGCCAGAATGGCACCGCCCTACGCCAACATATTCATGAGTACTTTTGACAAAACAATACACAACAAATTTAAAAACAGTATTTTACTGTACAAAAGATTCATCGACGACATACTGATCATATTCACGGGCACTACACAACAAACGGAAGAACTTACCACATACGCCAACACCCTACATAACGACATCAAATTTACATTCAACACCTCCAATGACAAGATCAACTTCATGGACATCACTCTACAAATAAACAAAAATAACAACACACTCACCTCAAAACTTTACAGAAAACCTACAGACACCCTGTCCCTCCTAAACTTTCACTCAAACCATCCCAGACACCAAAAAATAGGCATCATCTACAGTCAAGCACTACGACTCAACAGACTCATCTCCGATGAAGACGAACTAAACAAAGAACTCAAGAACCTTACAATTACACTCGTCACTAAAAACTACCCACTTAACGTCATTAACCACCACATCTCCAGAGCCTTACTTAAAACCCAAACGGAACTAATAACCCAATCGAAACCACTAAAATTACAAGACAACGATGACACCACATCCAATCAAATCCCCATCATACTCCCCAACGACAACATAGGGAGGGAACTAGCACAAATGATCACAAAACACTGGGCTATTATCAAAAACGACCCTGACCTAAACACAATACTGAAACCTGCACTACTTAAAGTACTATCCAACCACAAATCATTAAACGACCTACTTATATCTACAAGACACAAAGCTTAAACACACACAAAACTACAAACAAACGACCACTACCACCACCATCCAAGTACGACACAACCATGACTGCTCCCCATAACCTGACCAAGACACAATGAATGAGAGGAATACAACTGTACATGAAATGACAGAATAATACATCAACAGGAAAAATCTGAATATATTTACTTTGCGAATAAAGGTTTTTTAAAAAAAACATCAACTAGAAATACACCCACATAAAATACTTGTAAACATAATTTACTTGTAAATAGAAATACTTATACCAGACCATTGTATTTAGTTATAATAATACAGACACCTAAATCATACACATCTTCCTACCTCAATACATCCCCTAATAACACTAATGTTAATAATCCCCATAATCCCCTCCTTCATTAACAAATGATTACAAATCATTACAAAAATGATCACCACGACCAAACATAATAGAAACGAATATCCTAAATTATAAACGTAAATATGACTTAACTATTGATCCTGATATAAAAACATAACAGATGTTTTGAACACAATGAATACATTGCACATAAGAAATATAATCGGCTATCCAACTGTCTCTTCGACTCTAGGAAGGTGTATTAAACTAAATCTGCGATATCCCACCTATCTTACAAACAGATAAAACAACTAAGTTTATCGCGCGTGACAGCAGCTATTGTACTAAAAAACTAATACAAATACAACCTAAAGAAAAATTACTAAAAACTTCATAAATGAAAATACTAATAAAAACAATTTGATTCATTTTTAATTAGAAAAACTTTATTATTAACACTAACGCAAGTAAAACCTAAAGTATAATTATTTTGTTAAATCCATATATGAAAAAATTTGTTAGCAAATATGCTTCGCGCAGTTTAAACCTTTATCGCCTAAAAAACATTTATGCTGCTAACTAATTTTCAAAAAATCTAAAAAGTGTATATATTGTTAATGTAAATTCCAAGTATTGATTATTTAAGAACAAAGAATGACTTATTTATATTAATATCATTCTATTTTTATAAAAAAGAATGATGGAACAGACAGAGTGGGGTTGATCGGCAATAACAATTGTCGCTGACAGGTTAACGATTTAAGGAGGTCGGATTTCTGACTGGCCCTTCGCTAGCTGATTCAGTGACCCTTCTTCGTTGCTCTCCATCTCACAAGTCTAGTTTCATGATATTTTTGAAATTTAACGGTGATCCTGCATCGTTGAGGTATCAGCATAGAAGCCTAGTTGCCAATAAGTTAACGATTTGAGGAGGTCGGTTCTCCGACCTTCGTTGGCTGATGTGGCGACCCTCTCTCTATGTTTTTATCTTAACTTTCAAGATCCAGCTAAAACAATGAGCAGCCCAAACACATAAATATTTAACTCCAGCTGCACAATCAAATAAACTAAAAGAATTTTTAAAAAAATTCAAATGAAAAATGACGTAAAAAGTTAAAAATGAAACCTAACTTTTAAATAATTTTTTGTGAAAAAGCAACTTTATTATTAACACTAACGCAAGTAAAACCTAAAGTATAATTATTTTGTCAAATCCATATATGAAAAAATTTGTTAGCAAATATGCTTCGCGCAGTTTTAACCTTTATCGCCTAAAAAACATTTATGCTGCTAACTAATTTTCAAAAAATCTAAAAAGCGTATGTATTGTTAATGTAAATTCGAAGTATTGGTTATTTAAAAACAAAGAATTACTTATTTATATTAATATCATTCTATTTTTATAAAAAAGAATGATGGAACAGACAGAGTGGGGTTGATCGGCAATAACAATTGTCGCTGACAGGTTAACGATTTGAGGAGGTCGGATTTCGGACTGGCCCTTCGCTAGCTGATTCAGTGACCCTTCTTCGTTGCTCTCCATCTCACAAGTCTAGTTTCATGATATTCTTGAAATTTAACGGTGATCCTGCATCGTTGAGGTATCAGCATAGAAGCCTAGTTGCCAATAAGTTAACGATTTGAGGAGGTCGGTTCCCCGACTGACCCTTCGTTGGCTGATGTGGCGACCCTCTCTCGATGTTTTTATCTTAACTTTCAAGATCCAGCTAAAACAATGAGCAGCCCAAACACATAAATATTTAACTCCAGCTGCACAATCAAATAAACTAAAAGAATTTTTAAAAAAATTCAAATGAAAAATGACGTAAAAAGTTAAAAATGAAACCTAACTTTTAAATAATTTTTTGTGAAAAAGCAACTTTATTATTAACACTAACGCAAGTAAAACCTAAAGTATAATTATTTTGTCAAATCCATATATGAAAAAATTTGTTAGCAAATATGCTTCGCGCAGTTTTAACCTTTATCGCCTAAAAAACATTTATGCTGCTAACTAATTTTCAAAAAATCTAAAAAGCGTATGTATTGTTAATGTAAATTCGAAGTATTGGTTATTTAAAAACAAAGAATTACTTATTTATATTAATATCATTCTATTTTTATAAAAAAGAAAGATGGAACAGACAGAGTGGGGTTGATCGGCAATAACAATTGTCGCTGACAGGTTAACGATTTGAGGAGGTCGGATTTCTGACTGGCCCTTCGCTGGCTGATTCAGTGACCCTTCTTCGTTGCTCTCCATCTCACAAGTCTAGTTTCATGATATTTTTGAAATTTAACGGTGATCCTGCATCGTTGAGGTATCAGCATAGAAGCCTAGTTGCCAATAAGTTAACGATTTGAGGAGGTCGGTTCCCCGACTGACCCTTCGTTGGCTGATGTGGCGACCCTCTCTCGATGTTTTTATCTTAACTTTCAAGATCCAGCTAAAACAATGAGCAGCCCAAACACATAAATATTTAACACCAGCTGCACTATCAAATAAACTAAAAGAATTTTTAAAAAAAATTCAAATGAAAAATGACGTAAAAAGTTAAAAAAGAAACCTAACTTAAAAAATTTTTTGTAAAAAAGCAACTTTATTATTAACACTAACGCAAGTAAAACCTAAAGTATAATTATTTTGTTAAATCCATATATGAAAAAATTTGTTAGCAAATATGCTTCGCGCAGTTTTAACCTTCATCGCCTAAAAAACATTTATGCTGCTAACTAATTTTCAAAAAATCTAAAAAGCGTATGTATCGTTAATGTAAATTCCAAGTGTTGGTTATTTAAAAACAAAGAATTATTTATTTATATTAATATCGTTCTATTTTTATAAAAAAGAATGATGGAACAGACAGAGTGGGGTTGATCGGCAATAACAATTGTCGCTGATAGGTTAACGATTTGAGGAGGTCGGACTTCTGACTGGCCCTTCGCTAGCTGATTCAGTGACCCTTCTCCGTTGCCCTCCATCTCACAGGTCTAGTTTCTTGATATTCTTGAAATTTAACGGTGATCCTGCATCGTTGAGGTATCAGCAAAGAAGCCTAGTTGCCAATAAGTTAACGATTTGAGGAGGTCGGTTCTCCGACTGACCCTTCGTTGGCTGATGTGGCGACCCTCTCTCGATGTTTTTATCTTAACTTTCAAGATCCAGCCAAAACAATGAGCAGCCCAAACACGTAAATATTCAACACCAGCTACACTTCCAAATAAACTAAAAGATTTTTTTAAAAAAAATTTTAAAAGTGTTTATATCGTTAATTTAAATTCCAAGTATTGGTTGTTTAAAAACAAAGAATTATTTATTTTAATTAATAATATTCTATTTTTATAAAAAAGACTGATGAAAAAGACTGATGGAATAGACAGAGTAAGGCTGATCCCCGATGACACTTAGCACTGATAGGTTAACGATTTGAGGAGGATTGAGTTTTGATAATAAAATTTAAAAAAAGTGACTTCCGCGTCTTTAAACGATATATTAATTTGATTTTGGCGCCTATGTTTGGTTTATTTATTAGATTTTTGTATTATTTATTAGAATTTTTAAAAATACTTTTTCTTTACCTTTTACAATAACTACTACGCTGAGGATAGCCCATATAAATTCCTAATAGGCTAACCCGAGTGACTTAACCTAAGAAAAATGATTGCTCGCGTAACCTTTCTTTCATTACTTACCTTCCTTTTAAGAACCATCACGATTTAACATCAAAAAGGACATTGAGGAGAAGGGTTCGAAGACGACAAAATATTCAAGAGAGAATTGCAGCTAAGCGGAACTTAGAGGCATCTATAGATAGTGAGGGAACATTAGAAAAGGAGCAGAAAGTGGTCGAAGAACCACCAGTAAAAATAAATAAAGAAGATACAGAAGAAGTGGAAAATACATTAAGGTTCTTGGCCGATAATTTAGACGTTTTCACGAACAATATAATTGTAAAGTAAGGTACATTTAAATGATAAATATATACTTAAAAACATTAGTAACATAATTCCGAATCACCACCTATTGTAATACCAATGATTTCTCACCCCTATAACCCTTATCCCAACCGGAACACGTGACTTTATCCAGAATCTACGTGTAACCCAAACCCTAATTATCAATAATTATCACAACAATTATCATAAATATATTAAACATCTAAATCCCCCTTAGAACAACTGCTCTAAATATACCCACTAAGACATTGAATTACAGAGACAGCCAATTTCAATACTTGTCTCTAAAATAAAACCGATGACAATAACAAAAAATAATTCCCGCGGAAAATGATAGAAAAACTCACCTTGAGAATTACCTAACTCTTTTCGCGGAGACTAAAGAAGCTCTGACACGTAAATAGAACAATAGACCATTGAAAACTTACAACGATAGAACAATGGAATTTCTAAAAACAGAAGTTTTACATTTTTATGTGCACACGTTTCGTTCGTATCAGATATCTGCTAACAAGCGAAGAAAAAGCAACTTTGGCGTTCAGAAATATATTTTTTTACGTTTATTTAATAAAAAAATCCACATTAACGACAACACGAACAATGGCATCGAATAATTACATAAATATATACCCTACTACAACACCCAGCAACACGGTAAGAAAAACATTTCCTTTATCACATTTACATACTTAATAAGTCATACCATCACCACCCCACTATAATTTAGCGTTTACTTGAACATCACACGCCACTACAACTCACCATTGAAAGCACCCCATACTAATCTTACACATTATGAATATTTAGAATTTATTATAGAGTCCAAACACACCGGAAGACATATTCCTTACACAAGACGTGTTCCGAAATCAAGAAGTTCTCGCGACCGTAGATAAATTAGAATTAGAAATACTAAGGCACAGTACCACCCTGGAACCCGAAGACAAAAAAGAAGGAGACACAACACAAAAAGACGAAGAACTAAGTGACAGCCAAATGCTAGAAACGGTAGGTTTAGTTCAAACCTTTACACCAAAAACATCTTAAAAACTATTAATTATCCCCCTCATACCCAACCCCCTAGGGTCCGACTCCGTTATCTGAAAATTGTTGTGTTTATATATGTATGTACTTCATTTATGTATATCATTTGTGCGTGTTTGCATGCATATATGCATGCATCTGTATATGCGGACATGTGGGGATGTATGTGTTTGCATGCATATATGCACACCCTACCCTGTTACCCTCCTAGTATGTATAGACCTCTGTTTTATACATGGTAGTGTTCATACAGATATATTTGTATGTGCATATACATGTGCACATACATTTATATTTGGATTCATACTCTTGCACCCAACCCCCTCTATTTCACTCTATTTCACTCCGTTACCTGATTTATCTGTTTTATGCATAGTTGTACTCACACAAGTATATGTGTACTTGCGTGTGCATGTGTTTGCGTGTTTATATGCGCATATGCGTGTGCATGTATGTGGACGTGTGTTTATGCATTAGGTGTGTATACATATATATGTAGAATTGTGTTCTTATATATGTATGTGTATATGAACCAAATGAAATAGCAAAAGAGTTTAATAAATATTTTACTGATATCGGAAGTAGGTTGGCTGATAGGATTCCATCTACAAATATTTCCTTTAATGATTTTTTGACAACTTCAAATAATTTACTTTCTTTCCATGACTTATTCCTAGACTTATCGATTGAAGAGTTTGAAAGAGCTTTCAAATCTTTAAAAAAAAAACAAAGCAACCGGTGCGGATGGAATAAGAAAGTTTGAAAAATATTTTATTTAAAGTTTTCCAAACATCTATACAACAAGGGGTTTTCCCTGATCTATTAAAAATTGCAAAAGTTATCCCGATTTATAAATAACTATCGCCCTATTTCTATCCTTCCTACGTTTTCAAAAATATTAGAAAAAATTATCTTCGAAAAAACATACAACTACCTGGTTTCAAATAATTTACTATATAAAAATCAGTTTGGCTTTAAAAAAAATAGTTCAACTGAACAAGCTATTATTCAATTTACACGCGAAGTCTTAAATTCTTTTGCTAAATCACAATATACACTTGGTGTTTTTGTCGATTTATCAAAGGCTTTTGATACAGTCAATCATGATATCTTACTTAAAAAAATTGAGTTCTACGGAATAACTGGTAAAATGATCAAATGGTATAAAAGCTACTTGTCAAATAGAAAGCAATTCGTCTACCACGGAGAAGAATTGCTTCCTATTAATCTTCAAAATAAAACATTAATTGAAATAAAATGTGGTGTTCCACAGGGTTCTATCCTTGGCCCACTTCTCTTTTTAGTATACGTCAACGATCTAAATAAGGCCTCGAATCTTATAAGCATCATGTTTGCCGACGATACCAATTTATTTTTGTCAAACAAAGACATTAACAAACTTTTTTTAGATATGAATAAAGAACTTAATCAAGTTTCTAACTGGTTTAAATGCAATAAATTAACCTTAAATATTGAGAAAACAAAGTGGATCTTTTTCCACTCCTCAACAAAAAAACGCTTTTTGTCTTATGAATTACCTAAACTTTATATTGACAAAGTAGAAATAAAAAAGATTCCGTTTTAAAATTTCTAGGTATTTATCTTGACGAAAATATGACATAGAAAGCTCATATTGATTATATATCAACAAAAGTTGCGAAAAGTATTGGTATCTTCTATAAGGCCAGAAATTATCTAAATAAAAATAATTTAAAACAACTATACTACTCATTTATTCATAGCTATACAAACTATGCAAATATTGCCTGGGGAAGTACAGGTAAAAGAAAGTTGCAACGTCTTTACCGCCATCAGAAACATGCAATGCGAATAATATATTTTTAAAATCGTTTTTCAAATACAAAACCTCTATTTAAAGATATGAATGTATTAAATGTTTATGAACTTAACTTGTTCAATATTTTATGTTTTACGTTTTGTTGTATGAATAACCCCTTATTTCATGTTTTTAAAGATCTATTTACATTTAAAGTAAAGAATAAATATTGTTTGCGAAATAATAACTATTTAAAAGAACCCTTTTGTCAATCAAAGTTTAATCAATTTTGTATAGATTATCGAGCACCTTATATCTGGAATAAAATTGTACAGCCTAATTTATATTCATCTATCTCTTTTTCTGTTTTTAAAAACAAGTTAAAGAATATTATTTTTTCTACGGATAATATATTGAAATATTTTTTAGATATTATTTTAACCGTTTCTTATTTCAAATATTTTGGATTCTTATTTTGTTATAAACTATCTGTATTATACTATATTATATTTATATTGTAATTTTTATATGGTTCTGGCGACAAGATCAATATGATCTTCTTCCAGATTCTAAGTTTATATGTTTATATTACATGGAAATCACGACATGTAAATAATGTAAACTGAAGGAAAAAAAAAATGTTAATACCTCAACTATTCAAAGACGATTAATACATGCCGACTTAAATGCAAAAACACTTAGAAAAGTGCCCCTTTTGAACGTATGCATGCTTCTTGGACTAAAGAGAAATGGCGACAAGTGGATTTTGTGGACTGATGAAAGCAAAGTTGAAATCTTGTTAATTCCATGCAACGAAGATGCTTGGCAGTAAATACAAATAAAGGTCATGCCACAAAATACTAATGTAGAGCTTCAAAAAAAAAATTTTTGTTTGTATAAATTTTAATTTTTTTTTGACCTTTTCTTAAAAAATGATTTTCACTACTATTTTATTGCATAGTCTAAAAAAAAATACGAATAACCTTCAATCGATAATATTAAAATTTAAAACCATACAGTGCTGCAATTATTGCAAAGATTGCCGATAGGCATGAAACTTTTAGTTCCATTATAAAGTTGTATTTTTCTATTTAATTACACTTTATTTATATATATATATTGATCTATTTTGTAAAAATTATTTTTACATTATATTGATCACTCTCAAGTAAACAAGAGGATTTGTATCTCAACCAGATACAATAATAAACAACAATATATATATATATATATATATATATATATATATATATATATATATATATATATATATATATATATATATATATATATATATATATATATATATATATAAATGAAGAAGAAAGAAATGTAAACAAGCTTATAATGCTTATAAAGAACAATATATTATAATTGTTATAAAAAACAAGCTTATAAAGCTTAAAAAAAAATGTAAACAAGCTTTACTTACTACCAATCATATTTATATTATAACAATATTTTATATAAAATTTTTTACAAATAGTATACAAATATAAATAAGTCTCTCTCTCTCTATAAATGTATGCTAAGTTATAATATTAAACTATATAAACACAAAATCTTCATTTTACACTAATAGTTTATGTAAAAACCATATGTTGAAACGTATTCAATGTACTAACCACATTGTTTGCACCTAAACTGTTCACTTGACTTAAGTTTCTTGTTGAGACCAGAACAATAAAGAGTGATACCAACCATTATAATGATCACATCGAATCCAAGGAATTGTTTTAGTTCTTTTTTTAGGAGGATCAACAAAGCCACATTCCTTGCAACTGTCATTTTGTTGAAATTGGCCTATATTACTTTCTGTTGTACTATTTTGCAGAGATTCGGAGGTCTTTGGCATTATAAATGATGGCTTATTTGTTTTAGCACCAAATATTTTAAATGTTCGTTGTTTCGTTGCAGCTGGTCTGCCCCTTTTTTGTTTTTTAAAAAAAAGAGAGAGTTTCAACCTGTTTTCCACACTAGTTTGGAATTAAATGTTTGAAACGAAAAATAAAACAAATAATCAATATACAAACAATAATAATTAATAATTAAAACATTAAATAACTAAATTCATCAACAATTACGAAAAATCTAGAAAATGTAAACATATAAGCTTTAAACTATTTTAATTCATTTTGATGCGAAATCTATATTATGTACTTACTCGACAGCACAATTCATTTTGTGTCTAATCTAGACGTAGTAGATTTAAATGCCTGTCAATGGCACGTAGGACATGGAAATAGCATATAAGAATTTTACCGTTATTCCATCATTTATTTATGGCATTAATTTCTGCAACATCTTTATCTACAACAACACATTAGGCCGGGTGAATAAAAAAGAGCAATTGCTCATAAGCATATTGCTTTGAGTAAAAGTAAAAGCTAAAAGCAAATGCTCGCCGTAATAGCAATTAATAGCAATTGCTCAAAAATGTGTGAATAAAGTTTTGCTAATGCTTTTGTGTCGGAGTAAAAGCTATATGCCGTTGCGGATATAAGTAGCTTTTTTAACTTTTAATGTTTAAAATCAAACATTTAATGTTTAAAATTGATTCGAGTGAAAATAATATAGCTAGCCAAAGTTTTAACAAATGTGAAGATGATGTTTTTATAAACATACTGTGCGAATTGCCAATACTTCTACAAAAAAGCCAAATTCCAAACATTATATAAAGAAAAGCAAAGCATTTTTTAAAATGCAAGGCCAAATGTTCCAAGCAACAGGAACAAAAATTGATATAAAAACATTGGCGAAAAAGATTGCCAACATGAAGGCAAGGTTAATAAAAGTCTGATATCCATTAAACTGGAAACAAGCCTATAAAACTTTCAGCGAGTGAAGTCAAACTTGCTAATCTTTTAGATACAGAAAAGAACCCTACCTTCACACAAATTGATGGTTAGTAAAGACAACTTTATTTATATACTTACATACATATTATATATGTGTATATATATATATATATATATATATATATATATATATATATATATATATA